ACTTCTGTAGTACAATTTTATATGGACTCCTCAAATTCACCTGACACTTCTGGTTTAGAATCACAAGTGTCCACATCTCAGTTGCATATGGGTTTTAAGGTTTACTGCATGATGTTGTTTTTACAGCAGAGTTGTCACTTCCAAAAGGTGCACATTGAATATGACACACATACATTTTACACGAAAACCCCTCCACCACAATTAACATCTGTGCTGTTAATTGCTGTTTTTGAAAAATAAACCAAAAATTTCCTTTTTGCCAAGCTGAGAGGAAAAAACTACCTTTGTAAGCCACTGCACAACCAACCAAGGAAGGAATTGACAGCAAACAAAAGAGAAAATATCTTTATGTACCCTTAGAACTGTGCTGTTTCTAGAGTGTAATTTTTTTATGGTGGTTGTTGTGACTGTCATTCTAGAAAATTTGTATTGTCACTTATGCATATCTTATTTTGCTACTATGCATAGTAAATACTGAAATCAATAGTTGTTTACCATAATCATAGCAATTACTATGCAGCTTTAATGCTGCATTATTGCCAAGAATATTTTTCAACATCAAGATTGTTCTACTCTTCTTGCTGTAAACATAGCAGTGTGTTCCTATCTAAACGCTGCAAACAGGGACAACCTTTGTCCAACTGCGCTCTCATGAGAATCAGTGATTTAGGTCAGATCCTAAACAAACGATGCACAAAAATGAGAGAATGCTGATGAATCCTAAAGCCTTCACAGGCTGGAGTTACAAGGAGATATAATTCCAAAACCTAGAGATGAAGAAAGTAAATTTTAATATTTATTTAATATTAAATACATTCTAGTAAAATACATACAATCCTGTTGGAATACACACATACATATACATATCTATTAACACGTGTGTGCCCATACCCGCAATCAAGCAAAAATGCATGCAGCTATAGACAGAGATAAAACTTCTTTTACTTACATTTTCTTTTTATGAATATTAAGCCTGAACAAAAAATAGCAGAATAAATATTTGTTTCTGAGTGTATTGAAGTAGCTGTATCTTTTCTCTGTAGGACTCCCCTTTCGAAGTGTTTTGACCCAGATGGGATTACTGCAAAATTGGTGGTGAAAGAAAACTAGTCTTTTACTCCTATCCCAACTGTTAGCATATTCTTATCTGAAATGGCAGTGTTAAATCTGTAGGTAAATATGAGTTTGCTGGCTATATTGTAGCTTCAAAAGATCAGCATCCTGACAGGAGAACCAGTAAAGCCTTGATGCTAATCTTTATTTCTATAGACAGTTGCTAAGTATAAATATACTCTATCAGCTATGCTACTCTAATCTAAAGCTGTTTATTGCCACACCAAAATAAGAAGTGGAGTATAAAGAGTCTTAAAGCAAAGCTAAACTTCACAGGATACGTCAATGATTGGTGACATTTTCTTGTCAGTTGTTATTTGTATGAATAGATAGCACAAGCTTTTTCGAAAAAGAAAATCTTTAAAAATGCATAGAAGTGTTTGAAATAGGAGCATTCAGTCGTTGCAGGGTCATACATGGTAAAAGAGATGGGATAAACAGGTGATATTTTGTCCGCTAAGAATGTCAAGACTCAGTAAAACAGTGGGAAGGGTCCAGTATAATTCTGCCTTAAGAGACTGAATAAGGTTACTGCATGGACTGGCTCAGTTAAAAGTAACCCAGGATAACTTCCATGAGATTGAGCTATAATTTAAAACATTTTTTTTGGAAAAGATTTCAAAACATTTAGAGACATTTTAATACTTCTCTAAGCTGTTGTTTTGTCCCAATGCCAGCATCTGCTCATGCTCGGCAGCTTCATGTTCCCATAGCAAAAAGCTGTGGTGTTGTAGTACGTGCATTAGAGGAAGAATCTCTTAACAACTGATATGCCATGATTCTGTGATGAACTGGGTGACCACATGTATGTGCACTGGTTTTAAATTCGGGATCTGATCTAATATATTAAATAACTGCAGCTGAATAAAAATGAAATATTAATCAAGCTTTCATGAATTTATTGAAGACATGTCAGATTGTTGTAAGTTCTTTGGAAATATTCCAAAACCATTTGAAATAAGAAAAAAATTCATTTCCTTTCCTTCTTCTGTTGCATAATTGTCCACTTAGGCAGACAGGACCTTTTCCCATTCAGTCTTGAGATCTGGATAGGCTAGAGCGCTGGGCAATCAAAAACTGTATGAATGTTAACAAGAGCAAATGTTGGATTGTCCACCTGGAATGGGGTAATCCTGGTTATACATAAAAATCAGGGTAGGGGAGTCTGGAAAGCAGCCCTGTGGAAAGAGAACTAAGGATTTGGGTGGATGGCAAGTTGAATACGAGTCACATGACTAACCAAAAGGGCCAACCCCTTCCCTGAGGTGCTCCAACACAGTGGCTGCATGAGGGAGGGGGTTGTCCCACTCTACTCTTCACTAATTTGGCCTCACCTTGAGTAATGTGCAGTTTTGGGTGCCTAGACATAAGAAGGCTATAAAGCTGTTAGAGAGAATCCAGGATATAAAGCTATTAGAGAGAGTCCAAAGGAGAGTAGCCAGGATGGTGAAAGTCCTGGAGGGCAAGACTTATGAGGAGCAGCTGGGGTCACTTGCTTTATTCAGCTTGGAAAAGAGAAGGTTGAGGGGTGACCACACCACAGTCTGCTCCTTTCTCCAAGGGGCAGTAGATCTCCTCCCTCTGGTGACCTGCAACAAGACATGATGAATTGGAATCAAGATGGATGAGGGGAAGTTCAGATAGTACATGAGCAAAAGCTTCTGCACTGAGATGGAGATTGGTTACTGGAACTGGATCACCAGGGAAGTGGTCACAAATCAAACCTGTCAGAGTTCAAGGAGGGTCTCTATGACACTCTTAGTCATACGGTTTAGTTTTAAGTAGTTCTACATGGAGCAGGGAGCTGGACCCAATGATCCCTAGGAGTCCCTTCCAACTTGAGATAGTTTGTGATTTTATGATGCTAAATCAGATACTACAGTCATGAAATTCTTGCTGAGGGATTTCACTACCACTCTACAGAGGTTTACTCTTGCTTATCCACTCAGCATGGTTATGTTCAGCATCTGTTGGGAAGGAAGACAAAGTTTCTTTCAACTTCAGTGGTAAAAGGCCTTTGGGGCAGATTCAGCTTCAGAACAGATTGGGTTCTTTCGATTTCTTGGCTCTCTAAATATTCACAAGATGAATGCGTACATGCATGCTAAGTTCCTCATAGAACTTGATCTTGGTCTCAGATATCATGTTTCACATTTTCTTCCTTACTATTTATGTTCTGCTCTGAAAGTAAATGAATACTAAATTGAATCAGCAATTCAGGCTTGCTACATTTCATTGATCTATGACAGATCAGAGCTTGATGCTGAGCTAATGTGGCCCCAGGCATCAACCTTTACCACTAATATGGTTTTAAAATTCTCTACTCAAGTCTATTTATTATGAATGTAATCTGTTTTAGGAAAGCACCTAAATCTCTACTAATGATTCATTCAGACGCATGCACTGTCCTCATTTAAAATGTCCAGGTCAATCCCGCTTTCTCTGATTATTTTAATAGTGCACATTGTTCTATCTTAACTGGTTTACTTCCAGTCTCACTCTGTTTCAGATATTTTCTGCCTGACTCCCACTGATGACAGACTGGGATGATTTATTTCCTTATGCAACACTCTTTGTATTCTATAGTTATTTTTTGCCACAGTAACACTTTATTATCTTCCTCTCCCAGCAGCTCACTCTCTCAGCCACAAGTAAAATTTAGGGAAGTTTTCTGAAATTTCTTATGATCTGCCAGCCAAAATTTTATCTAGGATTCTAGACCTCAGATTCTTAACTCAAAAAAAATTAGCTCTGGTCTTCAGTGCTTCTCCAATGATTGTCATCCATCAGCACTAATAGGAAAGTGAGTAGATTCAGCCTCCTGATGTCAGCAGGTAGACTTCAAAAACATTTATATTTGTCATCTGGTTTGTCACTTTTGATGAGTCCCTTTCTTTATTCCCTCTACTTCACTTATTTGATCTACTGCATCCCCTTCAATTTCTCCTTAATTTCCTCACATGTACTTATTCCTCCCAAGCACAAAGCAGGGAAATGGGTGTTTCTGGTTATTAATTACACTAAAAAATAAAACTCTCTGTTCAACTGAAATGATAATATTTTTGTCTTTCATCTAAAAATTCTTACAACAAAAGCCAAAAAAATCTCCAAGGTATTCTCAGTCTTATCACTGCTTGTCAATCCATTGTACATGATACTTCTTGACTTGGAGTTATCTTTTTTTATTTTAATTGATTTTTCCATAAAATGTAGGTAATTTTTCAAATCAAATGCCAAAACTATGAAACATAAAAGAACATTTCCTTTTAAAATTACTGTTTAATATATTTCAATATTTTGTAATGGAATTCTTCATTGAATCATAGTGGTTGTAGTTGGGCTTTAATCTACTTCTCAGTAGAATTTGAATTCATGAAAATGTGAATTTTTCAGTGAATTTACTGTCCATAGAAAATTTGTCGCAATCTTTACTTACAAACAATGAGTAACTAAATACTGTTACGCCTTTTATTCTTGGCTTAAAATTTGTGCTGTCTTGTTAAAATAATTTCAAAACTTGTTCTGATTTCAGTAAATGCCCACAGTGCTTCTGATGAACAATGTATTATCTGCAATCAACTTTGAAATTTGAGGGGTTTGGATTTAATACGGACATTCAAATGGACAAATTCAAATTTATCTAGATATCTCATGAAAATATTTTCAATCTCTTGAAATTTCTCATCTAAAGGTTATAAAATGATGACGTATCAAGATTTCCGTCATCTTGAACAGTAGAAATGCTTCCAGCCTTCCTTCTCTCTTAAGGGTTTGTTTCATGGCAGATTTCAGGATGAGCTCAAATTTGCCCTTGAACATAAATTCTGTTCACCATTTGGCTGTAAACCTAGGTTTTATTTATCTGAGGTACAGTTCTGGTAGGGCAGCTCATTGTTTCAGGGGAGTTAAAAAAGCACCTGAAAAGTCATGTGCATCGCAGTTGTGCATTTCTTCTGGTTGTCAAGGAAACCACCCCAGGATTCCTGGCAACAGACTTCATCTCATTCAGTAATGGAAGCACCACAGGTATTAGCCAGTCAGTCACCTCCCACTTGGTACTATTTTGGGAACAAGTCAATAGATCAGATTCTCCTCTTCCAGCAGCTCTGGAGCTCTGTTGGGGTTTGTCGTGTGCCTTTGTCTCCATGGGCTCGGCTCCCTGGCAGTTTCTCCGGGCAGCGAGCCATCATATAGGTGAGGCTGGTAGGAGTGCTTGCTGTTAAAGAGTGCTCTCGAGGTAAAGAAGAGCCTTCAAAGCACTATGCTAAAACTGTCTCTACCTTTCCTAAAGTCTGGAGTGAGGGTTAAAAATTGACAGAGGGAAGAGAGTAGCCTTTGTTTCAGATGGACGTTGCTTCTCTTCACATAACAAAACTGTAAACAAAACTGTAAGGAAGCGCTTAGATTTAAAGCCTTAAAGAAAATAGTAACGATTTGCATATTTGTGGTGGATACTTATTTAATTTTTAAATATCCTGAAGATGTTGCCTGAGATCTCCAGTCCTCGGAATGGTGGAACACTATAGTTATGTTTCTGCTACAGGCGGTTACCCAGACTGACAGCCAGGCACTGTTCCTCCTACCAGCCTGTTCCAAAAACAAGTTGGTCCAGAGAGTATCCAGAAGGATAAAGTGCTTTATTTTGATGAAGAGGAAAGTAAAGTTTTATGTGTGATTGGGGATGTCCATAGGGAATGACAGAGCAAGCTGGAAGGAGGTTATTTGAATGCTAAGGGCAAAAAATAGGACAGGATCATGCAGAAGACAGATGGGAGGAGGAAAAGGAAAACCATGATGTGTACCTGAAATGGGTATGTAAAATAGAGATTGGAAACCTGTGAGGTGGGAATGAAAGAATGATAAGAAATGTCACAGTGGGGAGAAATGGTTGTGGACAAATGAAAAATTAAGAACAGGGATTTTGTGGTAAAGAATGGATGGGCCAGGACTGAAGAAAAGGGAATGGATTGTAGGGAAGGAAAGAGAAACATGTTTGAGATGGGAATATTACAGTTAAGAGTCCAGCAGTATGATATCAGGACTATGTGGAACAAGAAATTGCAAATGGAATGAACAAATCTGAACAGTGGTAATCCATGAAAAGTTTCAAACAGTGATCCAGATAACGATGTGAATACTGAGAATGGATCCTTTGGGAGGAAAACCAGGACATCATGTGAGGAAGAAAGAGGCAGAAGGAAGATGTGCTAGTCAAGGAATATTGAGATAAAGTGTGGGAACAAGGGTATAATAGGATTGAAGGATGATGGTTGGATAACAAGGTTAGAGAAAATGCAAAGAAGTACTTGAGCTATGCGAATAAGTGTTAAAAATTGTGATGAAATTAATATTTATCATCTAACTTTAACATGTAGGTGTTTATAGCTGAACTAATTGTTTAAGTCTCCCCTTATAACAATGGAGAATTAGTCAGTACAGTCACTCACTTTACCAGTTCCTGGTACCTGCGTTAGAGTGAGGTTGTTGACCTCTTAACTCCAGTGACTGTGCCAATTACTGTCTATTAAGGGGTCCTAGGAGACTTCTGTAGATGTAGGCATTCAGAGATAGGCATAGGAGTCCTATCACAAGAGCCTTTGATTCACAGTCCAGGACCAAATATTTTCCTTCTGAAAAACTATGTAAGAGTGTCCTGGATCTCCATTTATATGACCAGAGCCCACTGGAAAGGATATTTTGAGCTTGGTAGAAGTCCTTCAAGAAGAACTGAGAAATAAACTGAGTTTTGCTGCAGTTTCTGGGGACAATTTTATATGTTTTGGTTTTTTTTTCTTATCACCAATGAGTGGTTTCTCTTTGTGGTGATTTTGATCAGCGTAGAGTTAATTTTCTTCACAGTGGCTGGTATAGGGCTATGTTTGGATTTGTGCTAAACACAGGATTGATAGTACAGGGGTGTTTTTGTTATTGCTGAGCAGAGCCTTTCGTACTGCCATGTTGACAAGGGGACTGGGGCTACACAGGAAGTTGGGAGGAGACACAACTGGGACAGAGGACCCAAACTGACAAAAGGGATACTCCATACCATGTGACATCATGTTCAGTATATAAAATGTGGGGGGGGACAAGGAGAAACAGGCAGGACATTCTGAATGATGATGTTTGTCTTCTCAAATGACTGTCACACATGATGGAGCCCTGCTTTCATGGGAATGGCTGAACATTGCCTGCCCATGGCAAGTAGTGAAAGTGTTACTTGTTTTGCTTTGCTTGTGTATGTTGCTTTTGCTTCCCTTATTAAACTGTCTTTATCTCAACCCATGAGTTTTCTCACTTTTCCAATTGTCTCCTTGATCCCACTGGTGGAGCAGTGAGTGAGCAGCAGCGTGGGGCTGAGTTGCTGGCTCAACTTGACACTCTCACAGATATTTATTCAGTGAAAATTTCTCACAGTCTGTGGAAGAGTATGTTCATGGTAGACTGGAAAAACTCATGGTATGGATTTGAACTGCACATCTGCTTCTCCAGTAAATGGCAAGAATAATTTAATCACAAACCAAAACAATGAGATTCTGAAAAGTCAATATAGCCTGATGCTGACTTCAGTGGGAATACAACTTGGTGTCTATGAGTAATGACCTTGGACTTAGATGTTTACATAAGACTAATCAGTGTGGATCCACGCAGAAAAGGGAATGCAAACGATAGAATAAAGCTGAGACATCTGGTGAACTGCTGTAATCAAGTGACAAGAGCCTGAGGAAAGAAAATGGAAACTTGGACGTAGCTAACAGCAATACTAAAGGAGAGCAGGTTAGCAACTGGGAAATTAGAAATAACTACAATATTGTTATTGTGAGCTTGTTTTCTGTGGGATGAATAGTTGAAAATGCACCACTTCCATTTCAATTTGAAATTTAAACCACTCATGTGCTATGCAAGGAAGATCCTATCTATATACTAGATCACTTGATCATCTTAGTTCTCTAATTGACAGCACCAAAGCCTTTCTGTAGGGAGAAGTTCAAACTAATGTCTGCTGTGGTGCAGGTCAGCTTTCCTCATCCCTGAGGACTGTTCTAGAGAAGAGAAACCCAGACTGAGCTGGGAGAATCATCTCAGCTTCTTTCAGAGCTGCCCTCCTGTGAAAGCCTGTGCAGGATCCAAATGCTCCCAAGTCTGGATGATCCCACACAGGCTACTGCAAGACCCACAGTTTCTTTGTGGCTCAAAAGGAGTCAATTCATAAACAAATGCTCTTTCCTCCTCCAGTAGTCTGGGAGAAGCTCTCTGTAGACACATCCAGCATAGCATTCAGTTATAGTGATGACACGCAATCTTTGTCCTCCCTCTGTACATTTTGCTCTCCATGCTGAAAAAGAAAAAACTATGGTAGAAATGAAGTACTTAAATAAAAAGTGATTAGAAAAGGAAACAGAGTTAATGTGAGAACTATGATTAATTGTGTCACCATTTGAAAATCACTGCAAGTGATTAACAACCATAAACTGAATAAGAATAAATAATATCAAATCAAACCTAATTTCATTCGTTACAGAGTAAGAGGACATGTCGAGAATGTCCCACATTCCATAACTGAGCTTTAAGAACAAGAACTTTGATAGTTTTCCACAGTAATTCATAAAAAGAGATGAAGAAAAAATAGAAGAGAGCAATTTAGTGCCCAGTATACAGAAATCTGATCGTAAAATGATGTTTCAGTGTTGAAACTGAAGGATGAATTTAATGTTTTTCCTGAAGGACCAGTATTGAGTCTGTTGCTATTCAGTATTGCCATTAATGAGCTGTTATGAGCTTTGCAATTTTGCAGGTGCCATTGAGGGGACACTGCCTGAAGAACTGAAAGCAGTAATCCAGGTAATGCTGTGGAACTGGGAGTGAGAATTGAAAAAAATGCTGAATTCTTCATGCCTGAGATACAGATACTGTTCTCAGGCAAAACTAGTCAGCTCTCCTAATAATGGAGAACACAGAAATAGTTGGGTTGCAAGTTTATAGACAAAGATATTTTTATTGCTCACAAGTTGCCATGAAACACAATGACAGGTTGTGGCAGAAAACCCCTCAAATTCCAGCCAAATAAATATAAGCAGGAGTAAACCACACAACTTAATTCATTTCTTCATTCAGAACTTGGGGAGGCCTCAGGTAGAAAGCTGGGTCCAGTTTTCCTGAGCAGCCAGGAATACACTGAACCAACAAACAAACTGGCACAAGCAAAGTGTTGCTCTAACTCAAACTTATGATACCACAAGCATGTTGGACTAGGTGAGAAGGATGAAAAACAAGGCAAAACCAAAAAAAAGAACTGTGCAAAGAGTAATGCAGCACAGGGCAGAAGAACGGGAAATTGTTGCTGTTATGTTTGATAGAATAGTCACACAAAAACCTAGTGGACCTTTTAGTTGAAAAGTTAGGTGGGAATTTCTATTTAAGAAAGATAGAATTGTCATAAGAAGAGACAAAAATGCTACTATCAGTATTCCTTGTTTTGGAGTTCTCGGAAACTCAATACTACATGATTTTGAATGTTGATAGTTCTGTCTTCTAACAAACAAAGCCAGGAGGAGATGTTTCAAAGACATGAAGACAAATTTGTTTGCAAGACAATGTCTAAATTGCAGGACACCAGTTTGGGAGATACATAGACAATGTATCATATGTATGTTCATACATATTTTTGATGAAAAATTATATTGAAACCTTTCAAATTTCTATCACTAAATGGGCAGGACTCACACAGAGCAAAACTCATTTGTATTGTATATATATGATTTGACTTCCTGACTCCTTCGTAGCTTCCTGTAAAGAAGCAAGCACGACATGGTTATATATGCTATGCCAACTTTAATGTTTAACCTTGCTACTTCAAAAGGCTGGTTAAAAAAGCCCTCAGAAATACTGAGTGAAGTAATAATTGATAGTGACAAGGAAAAGTATACAGTCAACATCGTGAAAGAAAACAAGAAAAAAATTTGAAAGCTTAGTAAAAGGATGGAAGCAGTTTTCTGCACTCAAATAATAGTCCCTTCTGGTCAAAAAGGAAAGAGAACAACAATTAGGCAACTACAGTTAACAGCATTAGAGAAAAGCACCAGAAAATCATGAATAGAGGAAACAGTGCCCTGTTAATGCAACTGGAAAGAAACTTTCCTGTTATTAACTGTCTATTCCCTGTAATTTTAAGAATTACATTCTGCTTTTATAAACCAAAGAAATGAAATTATGCTCTTTTTAATTTACCTCTCCATCACCTGGCAACTGACATTTGAAAACTTGAATAACCTCACAGTTTTCCTGTGTTCCCCCACAGATCTCTGTTCAGACCCTCATTCTATAGTCCCCTTGTTATTGTTCCCTCCATCCATATCTTCCTACATGTCTCTCTCTCAAGGAGAAAGTTATGGGAATTTTTCCTGAACAGTGGGTTCCACACTAAGAGATGGAGATTTGTTCTTTTAAAAGCTAAATAGAATTTCATGGTTATTAACATGCTGTTTTTTTCAATGCAGCTTCTCTCTGTGCTTATTCTAGGCAGGGCTGCAGGCATCAGCTTTTATTAAGCTTATTCAAAACTTTCCATTGTAACACTAGTTTGCTTATAGATTTCAGAAATCTTTGATTATTTCAACCCAAATTTGTCATGTGCAGTTTGAAACTGTGGTTTTATTTTATTTCTTTTTTACACTTGAAACACTCTACCAAATATTGCACATAAGAAATATGGGCAAAAGAATAGCAGAGAAAACAGTTTCATGTGTATGACCTTCAGCTGCGTGGGCCAAGAGGGAAAAAACCCCATGCTTTGAATTTTTTGTAGAGCAAAGGGATCTTTTTAACCCCTATAAGAACAGTAAAACAACTTACCATTCTCATTCAAAGCAGGAAGCAATGGCACAGAGGATCCTAAGCGTCTTGAGGCTTGATGTCCTTTGAGAAGGTGGAGGAGACCGATCTTAGGTTCTTCTCACTCAAGAGTTGTCAGTGTTCCCAGAAAACCTTCAGGAACCCCTCTCACTATAATACTGGAAACAAATGTGTTTCTCTGACATAGATCATCAGGACCACAGGCAAAGCATTTAAATTCAATTTTCCATAATTCACTAATAAAAGAATAAATAGACAAGAGGAAGAAATATCAGGGAACAAAAATGTTACAGAGGGGGAAGGAGATGTTGTATGTCATGTCTTTTAAATCCTAATACACTGATGTTCAGAAGTTTATAGATATGCATGTCTTTAGCTACAGCTGAACACTGATTCATCGAAAAGCTGAAAACTCCTGGCAACTTAAAATCCAACAAGTTGGAAAAGGAGAATAAGCTAGATACTGTCAAAATGATCACGAGGCTAAAATAGAACATGGCAGAAGTAAATTAACCCAGGTTAATGCATGTTAACAATGACAAATAGAATCATAAAATCCTACAATTTTTTAGGTTGGGAAAAACATTTAAGACTGCAGAGTACAATTATTAATCCAGTACTGCCGAGGCCACGACTAAACCATGTCCCCAAGTGCCACATCTACATGTCTTTTAAATCCCTCCAGGGATGGTGATCCCACCACTGCCCTGGACAGCCTGTACCAGAGCTTGACAACCTTCAGTGAAGAAAGGTTTCCTAATAACCAACCTAAACCTCCCCTGGTGCAACTTGAGGTAAACTGAGCATGCTGCTGGCTCATGTTCAGTCACTGTTAATGAACACTCAGATCCTTTTCTTCTGGGCAGCTTTCCAGCCACTCTTCCCCCAGCCTGTTGCACTGCAGGGGGGTGTTGTGACCGAAGTTCAGGACTTGGAACTTTGCATCTCATACCACTGGCCTCATTTCAACAATCCAGCCTGTCCAGATCCATCTTCCTACCCTACAGCAGATCAACACTCCCACCTTGGTGGGAGTCATCTGCAAACTCACTGAGGATACACTTGATCCCCTCATCAAGATCCTTGACAAGGATATTAAACAGAGTTGGTCCCAATACTGTTTTCTTTACCCAGCAAACAGCGCATCTGTCCACTCCATGGTAAGCCAGTTTCTCCTGGAGAATGCTGTGGGAAATGGTGTCAAAGTCTCTACTAAAGCCTAGGTAGACAACACCCAAAGTCTTTCCCTCATCCACCAAGTGGGTCACCCTGTCATAGAAGGAGTTCAGGTCAGTTAAGCAGGACCTGCCTTTCATAAGCTCATGCTGGTTGTCCTGCATGTGCCACGTGATGGCATTCAAGATGATCTGCTCCACGACCTTCCACAGTACCAAGGTCAGACTGAAATGAGACAGATTGCATTAAGGCACAATAAAAATTCCATATGAAGTTAGAAAAATCTAAACTAATCTGATTTACCCAGCATGGACAGCATCAGTGATATAAGGGGTTTTGTATATTATACAATCTGTCTGATGAAAAGATGAAGGTTTTATTATTCACAGAAATACCTGATCTTTTTCAAATCCTTCTGTAAGACTTAGCTCCATTATACCTTGTGACAATGACTTGCACAGAGTAATTACTTGACTAATAAACCACTTTCTTCTTCTCAATATAAAACTTGCCTCAAAACTGTATGACACATCCACATTCCCCCTTCACTATCCATCATATCTTTTATTTGCCATCTATTGAAAGACAAATAGCCATAAATGAACAATACTTTGTACAGATAATTTTTCATTATTTTAGTAATCATAGCTGCCATCATATATTTTTTGTTTGTTTGTTTGTTTGTTTCATTCTTCCAATTCTGCCATATCCTAAGGTCAGTGAACCTTAGCAAATCTATAAAGGTCTCCTGCAAACCATAGTCACTCTTTGCTATGGTTTATATGGTTTGGATTCGAGCAGCTGAAATGTTGCCAATACTTTTATTTTTTGTCTCTCCTGAGTACTTTGCTTGCAGTTTCTATATCAATGTAACGATAGCTTTATTTTCAGTTTTTATTTTAAGGTTTTTGGTGAAGATGTTGCTTATTTATCTTATTCTCTTCCAAGAGGCAGAATAAGAAAGGCCTGTGTCACATCTCAACAATACTAGCCAAAGTTCATGGCCAAATGTAGTTCTCAATCCTTTAAATAAGTGATGGAAATAGTGATGGACAGTTGAGTTTAATAGAAAAGTAGTGATCAAAAATCTACCCTCTCAATAAGGCTATAATAATAACATCAACTGGTATAAAACTGGTTTACAGCTAATGAGTCCCAGTGCCATCTGGATATACTGTATAGTGTATAAGGACTTCAGAAAAATTGCCTTACATTTTCCCTAGAGCAAAATAAGGAATCAGGAGCAGAAACAACCACTATAATTAAAAACTGGTTCTATGTGCAACAGTCCAATTGCACTTCTCAGGTATCACAAACCAAAACTGTTTTTTGCTAGTTTGAAAGGATACAGTAGATAGTTCAGACTTATTTGGATAAACTACCTATATATTTTAGCCCCAGCAATGGTATTTTATTTGACTGGACTATGTGGTCTAGGCCTTCCTTGGTGACCAGTTTGCAACCAAGGAAAGGCCCAGATTTACCCAGTATTCCCTACGATTTTTACATAAGCCAGGCTAAAAGAAGAAAGGAGGAAAGGCCTCCGTTCTCTTTTCTTCCAGTGGCTTGGAGGTGCAGATTTCCCTGCTGTTGAGTCTGTTGGGTTGGGGAGCGAGGTCTGGTATTCTTTGCTAATTCTTTTAGTTGCTAGATCTTGGGCTATTGATGGGGATATATATATTTTATTTTGGTTTTGTTCCTTTTTTTTATATTCCCCCTTCCCTTTCCCTTTTCCTTGTGAAATTGTATCTATATTTCAATTGTACTTAAATGTAATATAAGTGTAAATATATTTATATATATTGCTTTAGCTGTCTCTCTCTCATTTTGGTTCTCTTGGGTTTTTTTCCCTCTTCTCCCTGAGGTTTGGGGGGGGACAGGACTTCTTGTGGTAGGGTTTGGAGACTTGGTAGGGAGCCAGCTTCAAAACATATCAACTAGCATAAAAATTTTTCTCTTTATTCTCATCTGATCAAAGAATTAAAGTACTCAGTAGGGGGAAGAACTTCCCTGAAGTTCTTATAGAAAAAAATACAAAGATTTGTAATATATAAAAAATCTTCTAAATCTAATGTATTAAGCATCACCACTGGGAACGTTATTAGATATTAAGATAAAAAAGTAAGAAAGTTTGCTGAACAAAGTAATCCCATCAAGTTTTCTAATTCTCCTTCATAGTTTACTGACATGAAGGTAAAGTCGTTATATTAAAACCCCCTTTTCCAATTAGCCTTATTGTCCATGACAAGTCTCATAAAGACATAACACTTCATTAGTTTCAAGATGCATTGTTGTACAGAGTATAAGGGGATGAGACCTGCCCCAAACTATTGCAGTCTCCACATGAGTGAGATAGTCCTACAATTTCATTATGTTGTACACTAATGACTTAACTAGTGAACTAGTTAAACAAGCATCCTCTTTCTAACCTTCAGTGTTTTCTGGATAATAAATTCATTAGTGTCACCCGCTTTCCTTGCTGTCTCCTCAGTGATTAATTGATATTGAACAAATTTTTAAGTGCTTTTTTCTTCAGTGCAAGTGGAAGGTACCATATTACTGACACAAACTCTCAAGTAATGTCTGCATTATGTAAGTTCAATCAGTAATGGTAGCAACGCATCACAGTAAGTGTAGGTGGTGTGTCAGATGTATAATAGCAGGGAACAACTTTATTCTTGTTTCTGAGAAGTTATACAAATCAACAATAACAGTTGTATTTTACAGAGGAAATAAAAGAGGCCTAAAACCAGAAAGTGTGATTTACCTCACTTATTTTGATATTAAAGAGCTAAATACTTGAGTGAGTTATACTTTAGAGTCAGTGGTAAAGAGTAGGCAGTTCAGATGAGCAACTCACATGAATCAGATGCTTATTTTGAAGCAATTTAAATTGCATTGGTGTCTGGGTTATTAAGAATTGTCATAATTTAACAAACAGCCTCTCAGCATCACACACCTGCTCACCCACTGCCCCACCAGCAGGATCAAGGAGAGAATCAAAAGAGGAAAAGTGAGAGAATTCGTGGGTTGAGATAAAGATAATTTAATAGGGGAAGCAAAAGCTTCACACACAAGCAAAGTAAAACAAGGAATTCATTCACCACTTCCTGTGGGCAGGCAGGTGTTCAGCCATCTCCAGGAAAGCAGGACCTCATCATGCATAACAGTGATATGGGAAGACAAACAACATAACTCCAAACTTTTCCCCCCTTCTTCCCCACAACTCTTAACTTCCCCTTCTTCCTCTCACTTTACATATTAAGCATAATATTATATGGTCTGGAATATCCTTTTGCTCAGTTGGGATCACCTATCCCAGCTGTGTCTCCTCCCAACTTCCCATGAACCCCCAGCCTCCTCACCAGTGTGGCAGTATGGAAAGCAGAAAAGGCTTGACTGTGTAAGCCTTGCTCAGCAATAACAAAGACATCTCTATATTATCAATTTTGTTTTTAATACACATCTAAAATATGACCCCATAACAGCCACTGTGAAGAAAATTAAAGCCAAAGCAAGCACAGAGGTGTAGGTAAGTTCCTTTAATATGTGCATTCAATGGCAGCTGCCACAGTGCATTGAAAGCGTGCAAAGAGCTGACAGATACAGCAGAGAAGCTGTGGTAGGTATGTCTATACAGTAGACATTGAAATTTCAGTATCTTCATCTATGAGCTGAATCTCACCCTTAAATTAGAAGAGGCACACCCAGAATGACAAACAGTTCTGTTTTACCTAGTACTTACCTGAAAGGTATGCAGTCCAAAGTCAGAGGAAGAAGAGGATATCAAACTCAAGGAAAGCACAACCACCACAAATAGAGGCAGCACTATCAGATTTCTGTAATTCACTAAGAAGACTGTAGGACATTTCACTGACATGTTGTAGGTATTTCTCTGGATTAATTCAAGAGAGAAAATTAACTGTTCCAGCCATCAGCTACGGAAGCTTGCCTCTTTATCTTAAGCTATAGCATTTTGCACTCTCTATTTGATACAGACAGCCATAAACTGAACATTATTAAGATTCCTTCGCAAGTGGAAGAAGAAAGTACAGCTCACAACAGTGTCCCCTGTTTCTTTAATTTCACAGCTGAATGACCAGAGACTTGCTTAAAGAGAAAAGGCTACAAGAAAATTCAGAGCTGTTGGAAGCACCTATATGTACATATAAATATGCTCAACCCTTTGGGTGTTATTAGAGTGGAAATATCTACTATATGCTAAAGCTCTGTGTAATGAAGAAAGGGGGTCATGCATTTTTTAATAGGAAATGACAGAGGGCATTTCATCACTGCAGAACCATGTAGTTTTACCTAAGCTAGTTTTAAAATAGCTTACTTAGCTGGTGGTAGCAGAGAGTTCAGTAAATGCTGAGAAAACTGTAAGCGTTTGCCTTTTTTCTCAAAGTGTGGTGGGAGGTGTTGCAGCCCACAGTGACCCCCCACCCCCCAGGACTGACATCTGAGCCAGCTGAAGCTGCTAGATTAACTTATGACAGAAAAAGCAGTGAAGACACATTGAGAATTTGCACACCAAGCAAAATTTAAGTGCTGGAAGACTTAAAACATTTGATCCTTTGACCACTAGTCTGAAGCAGTGATTATTGGCATTTTTTGACAGATAGTGCCTTAACAGGTGGGACTGGAAATCTTAGATATGTGAAAGCAAGTAGTGGACGTGAGTCCAAAACAGCTCATCCAATAAATTTGACGACACTGTAATGATAAAGGCAGCATTTGGCTTGCTCAAAGTTCTGGAAATTAGAGACAGGATGGATTGTAATGAAAGAAATTTGCTTAAAGCATTAAAGAATAGGTTGACTCCTATCTGTGCTGTTTTCATATTCATCCCTTAACAGAGATGATTATCTTCTGTCATCTTCAAAGAATGTATTTGCCATGGTTCCTGGGGACAAGCATTTTTCTGAGATAATTTGTCCAAAAAGGCGGTACAGACTGGTGATGAGAATCACCATTAAATAAGCACACATGTAGGCTTAGCTCAGTGTAACAGCGTGGTAACATCCACACCTCCAATACAATGAAAAGACAGGTGGGCAGGGGACCTGTCAAGGACATAACACTGGTTATGGCAGCTAGGGAATGTGCAGGGGCCTAACAGTTCCCCCAAAGACACTTGCCAGGCTCCCCTGTATGTTCATCACTCCTGGCTTGAGGGAGGGCTTTGTTTTCACAAGCATATCCAGTACTGTAATGATACAGCTGTGGTAGTGTGAAAGGTTATGCTGGGCAAAAATCAGTGATTGCCTCTCAGGCCTGTCATGCTGTGCTCCTCACTGTGACATTTGTTATTGCAATGAGCTGTGACCCAAGAGTGTACCCAAGAGAGCCAGGCTCCACCGTGGTTCCTGCAGTAGAGGAAAAGGGCACATCTCTATGAAGGTGTTTTGTCAGATAGATCGTGAATCACTCATTTGCTGCTGTTGGGCTGGCAAACACAGTCTGAAAGTTGTCTGACTGGATCAGCGTGGCTCTGAGCCCCAGCCAGCACCTCTGGCTCATCTGTGGTGCTTGCTGCACCCAAAGGGTTTCTGTTGGTCTGGTGATGCTGCTTTTCTGTCTGTCTGTGGTAGTACTGTATGACCTACATTTCTCTTCCTGTATAATGCATTCATGTCTGATTAGGCCCTCATTTTGCCCCTCCTGCTTGCTCTCCAAGTATCATTACTTCTTAACTAAATCTAGACGTCTAGAATTAAGGAGTCTCCTCCTGCCAATAATTATTTTACTTTAGTCAGGGAGTAGCTTTCTATCTGTATCTGGGTCAGTATTAATCTTAGCTTCTAGTGTTAATTTTCATGCTAAATATTCTTAATTTGTTCTTCTTTTATAAGAAGCTCCTTGATCCAGTAAATCTTCATGTCCCTCCTACAGTGTCTCTAGTTATGAATTGTCATGATTCAGTGAATCTGCAGAGAAACTATTTTAATTATCCTCCCTTTCTCTCTTTCTGTCTTCTACCAGGATGTCCAAGCCTCCCATGGAGGGAACATTCCTATCCTCCTTCAGTTCCCCTGAGGCAGTCAGAAATTTTTCATGTCAAGTTATCTTTTTGTCTCCCAGATCACACTGGATAAGCACTTCTCAGTGCTGAGGTTGATTTCTGTGGGGAGATTCCAGCTGCAGAGGAAAGAAGACATAATCTCAGGGGAGACTGCCAGAGAAATACGTAGTCTCATTTATGTAAGACTTGGCAAAACCGGAGAAAGGCCTGACCCACTACATTGCTCTCTGGACTTCACTGTCAAAGATTTTTGCTTGATTCAGTGCAAGAAGAAAAATCACATTTGCAAAATTTGTAGCTGGTAGCTGTTTTTTTTTTTTTTTTTTTTTTCTGAACCCCAACACACCTTTGGGGTGGGTGGTGAGCATGGGGAATGGGATGGAGAATCTCCAAATCTCAGATATATTTAATCCAGCCCAAAAAGCACAACCGTCTCTGCTCAAATTCCAGTAGTTCTGAAA